ATATAGAGTACAAGTACTTAATGATTAGTATTACTATTTATGATTTCCTCCGCTAACATGCAGAAGCTGCACCTCGGAGCTGGCGTCACGATCGTGGCGTTCACTATGGGAGAACTCCTATGGAGCGAAGGCCATATTCTGCACTGATACACAAGTTACCAGGTGGGCTTTGCGCTTTGGGAAGGCAAGTCTTATGGAATGCTCATACAAGAATGCCACCATCTCAAGGACAGAGTTGGCAGATCCGGGAGACCGCGCATTATGTTCACGTCCAGCAAGTATGGAGCGAAACAACCTTCGAAAGCGACAACAAAATCTGCGAGAACCCGAAGGAGGGAACATTGAACAGACACTTCTTGTTGGAAGAAGGGATCGTTGGCGCCGACACCGTAATTGATGACGCAGAGTTCTGGCTAGTACGTTTGACTCAACGGCGTCGCTCGTCTATTCATGCCATTGCCCAGGCGGCATGGACGTGGGGAATTTGCCTTGCCGGTGTTTTCCTGGACAAGATGGAGCTTTTCGCACTCTTGCACGCTGTGGAGTCTGCCGTACGATTCTTGGACTCGACGCCCACGAAGTCGTGGGGCTTGAACGCTGCCGTTGAAAGCTCTAGCGATGGAAACGTTGCAGTTCTCGAACGACGATGCGTGCGTACGGAACGTCAGCTTCGGTTGATCGCACGGCGTCGTGACTCGACACGTTTCCTATGGCACAGCGACGATGCAGATCCGAGACGAGCACACGAACCAACTTGAATGAGGGCAAACGACATATATATGCACCTTACATGGAGTTTGCTCTCTCTGCGCGGCCGTCGTGGATGGCCGCTCGGTCCCAACGACGTCGACGCGAACGACGACACTCGGTCAACGACGGTTTCGCGTACTAGTAATAGTACTACGAACTCTTGATACTCCCAAACCATGATTGCTGTAGTACTACTAAAAAGTACGTTGTTGGGGAATTCATGAGTAGTACTACGTAGTACTCATCTGTCAAGGCATACTAGTACATACATGTATTTAAAATAGACTGATTGTTGCAATCATTTGCGGACAGAGGTAGTAATCCGGATGATATGTTCAATAAACGGACGTCGAGCAATTGGACAATGGAAGATTTGTGTAAATTCCTTCCATTCACACATTGTAGGTGACGATGAAGCGGAAGCGCAGCGGTGAGGAGAAGGAGGAGAAGGAGGAGGAGGAACTGCGAGACGCAAGTATGATCCCAAACCATATTCCTGGGTGCCGCTGGCGAGATATCCCGCGAAACACCAAGCTCACCGACGTTGAAACAATCACGTTTTTCAGCGAGTTCAAGCGTGCTGGAGATCTCACGGACAACGATGTCATTGACCGCTGCAACTTCCTCATGCGGCATGCGCCTCCCAATAGCTATCTGAAATTGAAAATCAAAAGCAAATTCATCCAACTGATTAAGCGCCTCGAGAAGGTATGTGAATGTAACTTGCTATCTGTGGAACAACTTTCTCCGATGTTCTCTAAGCGTTCTATAGGTCGACCTACAAGAGCACTGCCTCAGTCGTGATGATTGTCTTCAACCAAGCGGTGTTGTCTGGAAGACGGGCGAAGAGATTGAGGCCGCTGGGCGCGACTGTTTCCCCGACGACGTGATGCTCTGCACCATCGACAAGGATTTGTTCAAGTTGTGGCCATTGCTGTCGTTCATGCAGGGCATTGGTACGCTACATCAAGTTGACGGTCGCGCAATCGACCTTGGGCGAAAGATCATGCATCTGCTTGACGAACTGGGAAAGCAGTATCCGGCGCTCGCGAAGCTGCTCGATCCACCAACAGTTATCTTCAACTTGCAGGCTATGAAGATCAATCCGGCTGCAGTCGTTATTCCCGCTGGACTCGCACCTGGAAATGTGCCCGCGTTTCCTGGTGCCGTTGGCATCTGGACTTGCCCATCGGAGTTACGCGCTGGCGAACTTATCGGCCACCTCCGCGCTACGCTCGCTCCTGTCTTGCTGCCCGGCGTTGTCCCGCAGTTTCATTATTTTAATGCACCCATGCAAAACCTCTAACATGACAACCTGCCACACCAATGTTGGCATTTGCTCCTAAGGCAAATTGTGTACTGTATCTCACAGAGCGTAATGAAACATGAGGCGTGTTTGGTCTATGTTATTGAATGGAAGGTAAGTATGCCCTTTTCTTTCCACACAATGAAACGATCAACAGTTGCCATGGCGACTTTTGGCAGTGTCCACAGAGGTAAGCAGCAACACATCGATAACGCTGCAAGGACGGCGGTACCAACGGCATGTCGACGCCCAATTTTTAAAATTGACGAGGACGTCAAAGAGGAGCGCAATTTTTTAGTTGAACGTGCAGAACGAAGCTTGAACAGTGTTCCTAAGGATGGAGGGTCGAAAGATCTTGACCCGCATGCTCTACGACTGTGTGCAGATAGGATGTTACATTCGTGTAAGGTCGTGCCGATGTTCAAAAGAGACTGGACCGCTGCGTTGATGCGCGAGACGAAATGGCACTTACACATGCGCCAAGGATCATCCGTCA